GATTAGCAGAGGAAATTTTAGTATCTTTTTGTGGAGAAAAACACATTGATTTAGAAATTCTTGCAAAATTCAAATAATTGTCAGATTTTAACGAAACTTTCAGGACTTATTCACAAATGGATTAAATTATTTTAGAAAATCTTGGTAATAATATATATATTTTTTTAACATCTGTTACTCCCCTCCCTCCACTTATTTAATTTTATGAAATTTTGATAAATTTATTTTTGTACCACTTAAAGTTTCAGAACACCTTGTAGAATTTAAATCAATCTTTTTGTAAATCAGGAACCCCAGTTACCAAAAATCTCTTCTGAATCAAAATAAAAAATGCAATAAAACTAAGACATTATTCAATTAGAAAAGCTTTTAATTGCTTTCATGAATAAGATATATTATTGCCATTATTGTCTAAAGGAAAATTTTTTTTTCAATGAATAATGAATTTTTACAGGAATTGTTTTCATTTTTTAAAAATTTTAATTAGAAAAATTTATAGTTTTAAATCTTAAATTTCTGTATTAATTTGTAGCAGTTACAGGATATTATTATCAAATAAAAACTATATTTACTAATCATATATGGGAAAGCTTACTACAATTCATCAACACCCAATATTTAAAAAATTATTTTTTGCATGCCAATTTTTGTAAATATGAACATTATCAAAAAATAAGAGCAATAAATATAGTAAATTTAGAGCCAAATATCCAAAATTCAGTAAAAGATTAGATTATGGAGAATATTTTATATTTTTAAGATTACCAGGTAGTTAAAAATTATATATAAAATGTGGTCATATTCTATATAAGTCATTTTTATAGATATGTCCCCCTGCCTATAAAAAATTTTAGATAAAATTTCAGCTGCCAGTCAAGCTGTAAACACTTTAAATAAACATCTAACTCTGTGTTAGAAAACTAAAAGTGAGTAATATGTTTCAAATCAGATTAATTAAACTTTAAATCAACTAATATTCCCCAAATAAACTTTCAGAAAAGTATTTTATTTTTGAAAGATTTTTTCATGATGAAAATTACATTGTGCAGATGGCTAAAATAATAAAAAAAAATGGTGCTAAAATCAACAATTTTAAAGAAGAAAAAAGAAAAAAGAAAAAAGACTCCTAGTTAATTTTAATTAATTTTGAAATACAGCAAAGTATTTTTGCTTATTGGAAATATTAACTTTAATCAATTATCTAGAAATTAAAACTAAAATAAAAGCTTAAAAAAAAATTTTTCATTTTTAAAAATTAATTTTTAACTTTAGGTATTGTGTCTCTGTGGAGGTAGCTAGTTTTTAGAAAATAGTAAATGTTCTGATATATATTTATACTCAAAGAATCTACATGCTTTTGTAAGGAATTAAAAAAATATTTTTAAAATTTTAAATATAAATAAAATATATCCAGCATCAAAACTGCTGTCAAACAATCTTCTGAATTTCTTGACATTAGCATATTTTTCATTTATAAGTGTGAATTTTAATTTTTTTTTATTGTCATGAACCAAATTATATATTTCTGTTATTAATTTTGCCTTTTTTATCATTGTTTCTATTCCAATGCTTTGGTTAAATAATGGTCAATAGCTTTGAATGAGAAATTAGCAAGCTGAATTTGAATTCTTGTCGTTTGTTATATTCACTTCTGTATAAATACCCTTGGGAAAGATATGAATTCCAGAAAGACTGAATTCAAAACTCAGATGTCTGAAGTGGTGCAAAGTTGTTCAGACATAGTGTACAGATACTATGTCTGTAAAACAAAAAACACACTATATTTAAACAACTATTGGTAATCCCTTGATGGCCCCAAGGAACGGGAATTGGTTTGGTTAGTCATTATATTTCCCATATCCTTCTAGCAGGTAGCATGAATGGGAAATAAATCTCTTGTAAGAATTGAACTTTATTTTCATATTTTGGGTGCTGTCCATACAGAATTGGTTAGAAAAATTTCACAGTTGGAAAGAATAAAATTTACAAAAATATAATAACTAACATCTTTATCAATTGATTCAAAACATTTCATTTTTCTTTTTATTTGTTTACTATTGGTTAACTTTATGGAATTGTGACCCAATAACAAATTCCAAATTTCTCATTAGAATTTTTATGATCATGTTCTTTATAATGATGCATATTTTTTTTTTCTATTTAAATATCCCATTTGTCAGAAAGTCAATTTGTAATAATTCCTTGTTTTGAATATGTTAGGAATGATTAGGGATTATCAACTTGTACAAAATACAGAAACAGTTTAATAGAGTTACAAAGTGTAGGAATATTAAGTATTTTAAAAATATTCTCTCTTCTCAACAGTCTATAAATTTCCTTTTTTTCTGCTACAAGTGTTAAAGGATAGAAGAATTAATAAAAAAAAATAAATTAGCCTTTGATAAGAATTGAACTTACTTCCTCTTGTAAGCCAGTCTCATTGACAGTGTCAATACTAATTTGGCCCATGAAGGCTTTACTAGCAGGCATTGTTCAAATGAGTCATAAAGCTCTATTTTCTAGTTTTATTCAAAATTAACAAAAAGATTTGCAATTTTACTGCATTCCTATTTGTAGTTCATTTAGTACAAAATAGGAATTTGGAAATCTACCAATATAGATGATTCACCTTTTGTCCCATATTTGATTAAGGGACATTCTTCCTGGATCTTTTATGATGAGTAATTGATAGCTAACAATCAAGATCAGATTGAGAAAGAGAGCTGTCGCTTAATCTCACAAAGTCTGTGTGTGTGGTGGGGAGAGCTTATGTTTTATATTGTTGATTTATATTGGCATATACTATTTTCACATCTTTATTATATATAATATAATATCAATATTTACCAAGGTTAACTTTGCCCAGCACAGTCAAAAATATAGAGTGGGTGATTATATGGGAGGAAGATTGTACAGTTTCCAAGCAAAGTGGGCTAGTTTTTCCCTTGAAAATCAACATTTGATATGTGATCTGTAATTCAAGTTTGAACACTAATAATATTATTAGGAACTGTATGTAACTACTAAACAGAAAGCAGAGGATATATATATATATATATATATATATATATATATATATATATATATAAGGGAGAGGTTATAGTTGTGTATATTTTAAAAAGAAAAGAAGCCACAAACGTTTTTGGTTATAATGTGGATTTTTAAAATATATATTATACTTTATTGCCAATATTTTTGTTACATGTGTTTCCAGTTTCAAGACCTTCATCAGGCAAAGAGCGGTTATTACCACATATTATTTAAAGGAATTAATTTTCTTTATGTAGTAGTAATCCAAATTTTTCTTCGGCTTGTGGAAAAAAATATTATTTAAAAAATACACATAATAACCAAAAACATTTGTGGCTTCTCTTCTCTTTAAAATAAATATATATAACATCACTCCAGTAAATGACAAATTTTATATTTGTATTAATAGTCATATATGTGTGTGTGTGTGTGTGTGTGTGTGTGTGTGTTTGTGATACAAAAACCTGAAAACTGCCTGTTTGTCTTTTTTCTTTTCTGAATTACAAATTTAAACAGTTGTGCATTATTCTTCAAAGAGGCATCAACAGATATTATTTTACAATGTTAAGCAAACACCTGTGTTGATATTTAGCATTGCATAAAAATATTTTTTATGTTAGAAATAGTTTTTATTAAAAAAAATGTTAATGTCTTACATTTTTTTTTCAAGTGACCAAATGAAAATATTTGTCTAGAAAGTAAAGAATTCAAGTGTCACCGATTAAAAAGTACAGATTACTTTAACAGCAGTAAATGAGCATTGTAGATGTCAGACAAATCTCCTCTTTCCATCTTTCATTATCTAAATAGTTGATAATTTTAAATAATTTAATCAAGTTCACATGAATCATCAAAAAGCATAAAAATGGAATGACTAAATTGTTGCTAGGATAGAAATGAACTACACAAATCACATCAGACAGTAATGTGCACATGAAAGATTACAGATTTCTAGAAAATAAAATATCAAGGGGGAAAAAAGAAGATACTTACATTAGGAAAAATATTGATCTTTTCAATGCTTTGTACAGTACAAGGTCATAGGTCAGGGACATCAAATGAAGAGGTTAACATGTAAGACATTGCTCTCTGGCAAGTCAGTTTTTTTTTGAGTTTAGTCTGGTACAAGTGCTTACTAATGATGTAGTTAAGATAAAAGTCTATACACATGAGGATTAGTTGAGGATAGTAACTATGAACTTGGTTTCTACTAGAGAGTGATTAAACATCACTTTAGTAGAAATCACAACAGAATTATTGCCTTCTCATTTGTAAACACTTGTCTTATATTTAAAAAAAAATGATTACCACAAAATGACTTGCAATGGCATAAACTTCCCACTCCACAGCAATTGAATTACTTAATATGTTTTTGTCTCAATAAGCAAATTGTATGAAAATTGAAAATGTTAGAAAATAAAAATTCAAACTAATGAAAAGAAACATTGTGGTATTTGAAAACTTTGAAGGTAGACAAGTAGGAGAAACATTTCAAAAAAATTTCTATTTGCAGGTACAGAAAGTTTTGTTAAAATTGCTTTTTTTCTTCTTTTTAAATAAAAATCAATAAATAAAATTTTATACAAAATAAAATTGGTCATTAAGTCCCAAAAGTTATTGAATAATGTTCAAATGAAAATGATTACTAATATAATTGACTTAGTTCAAATGTAATTTTTTTTAAAAATACAAGAAAGCTAATGTTATTTAAGTCTATATAAGTTTTAAATTTGTTTTAAATTTGATTTCATGATTACAAAATATCTGAATAAAAGAAATAAAGCTGAGATGACTTAGTGATGTGGATGTCAAAAGATTTCATGTAAAACAATTCATTGATTTCAAATTTATTCATATTATTAAACTGAAAGAAAAAATATTTCAAAGTTCACTTGGAGGCTCAACATTATTTTTCTCTACCAAATGAGAGTCTTGTGATCAAAGCCATATAGTGTACAGCAAGAACTTACTTTCCACCGCCTCCGAGATATGAATGTTCTCAAGTGTCCAGTATTGATCACAGCAGCTTTTAAATCATCTTCTTCTTTCTCAGCCGGCTACAATAAAAAAATAAATAAATAAAACAGTTAACAAAGATAAATATGGATGTGTGCTTGTATAATACATACTTTATCATTGTATTGTATATACTAATTGTCCTTTTTTTGTTTCTTATATATATGTATGATATAAACACACATGCAAAGTGGGATATTACATTTTTCTCACATAAAATTTAAGTGTACAGTATTTAGGAAATATTTTCTAGAAATAAAATTCCTACAAAGAATTTCTTTAGAATCAGACACAAAGAAATTTAGCTTGACAATTAAGAAAATCTTTCTGAAATTAAATCTACATATCAATTTAAAACCTATGTTAGGTACAATATACATTTATGAAAAAGAAAAACACTTGGGTGAGAAAAAAAATGATTAAAATAAAGCCTTGGTCAAGTTTCTTTTATAGAATTTTCTGAATTCTTTCAAAGAAAAACTGAGAGAATGAGGCAGAAAAAATAGACTATTACAATACCTGACACCACACAAACCAACTGGAACGCTAGACATCATTTAAGCTACCACATCAATTTAGTCATTACTTATATTAGGCATTTGTCCAGCAAAGAGATTATATATATATATAGTTTTTTTTTTTTTTCACACGCACACACACACTTAATAGTTAGAATAAAAGATATCCAAAATAACCAAAGAAAAAATAAACCTACATCAGATTAATACCTCTGGACATCTTATGTGTGTATTGAAGGCTTAAATTATAATCCATTTGGTTGATAGTAAGGAAAAAGGGAAGAGAGGAGGAGAGACAGAGGAAAAGAGAAGAGATAGAAAGAGAAAGAAGGATATATATATATATATATATATATATATATATATATATATATATATATATAGAGAGAGAGAGAGAGAGAGAAGAAGAGAGAATCTGCAGTGTTGCAAAATGAAATGCTTAACAGTAGTAACTATGTTGGAGGAGAGAGATATGCACACCACATTGGAGATTTCCTCCCAATAATTTCACAGCCAAACAATCTACCTCAGTGATGCTGAATAGAATCTTGTTTCACCTCCCCCCCTCCAACCTCCAACCCTCAGGACTTGCAGTAGCAGGAGGGCAAGTCTACCAATATAGAAACAGTTGCAAGGAAGTACGATGTTAACAGACATTTTTATTTATTTGTATGCTTAATACTTAAATTAGGAGATATAAAGATTAAAAATAGAAAAAATTATGAAAGATATTTGTTCAGTAAAATTTCAATTAATTAAAAATATTAGAACCTTTCTTATACAAAACTAGAATCCACCACACACCCACCCACTTTCTAATTTCCAAGTTGTTTTTTTTTGTTAGAAAGCATAGAAGTTAAATAAAATTAAAATCATTTTTTTCTATGCATTCTTGACTTCAGTCTCCCTCATATTTTTCATTCTCCACCCACTGACCATTTTCTTAATTTAGACATTTTGAAAGTAAATTATTTTGTAGTTCACTTCTGGGGAATTAGTGGGAGAAACATGAACAATGTCAGTCTGGAGATTCAGAGTTCAATTCCAGTCTGTTGCCTGGCTGATGCTGATGCCAGAAAAAGTTCACTTGGCTTGCAGTCTGCCTGCCCATAGCTGAGTGTGACACAGCATTCCCCTGACAGTGCGGAAATATCTTGGGCAACCAAAAAAGAAAAATGGAAAATATTCAGTGTGTACATGCATTTCACTATGCAAATATAAGTAAACAAAATATAACTATAATGCAAATATAAGTAAACAAAATAAATAAATAAAATAAACAGCAAATGAAACTAAACATTGCATATATTCCTCCCCAACACCACTGTGTTAAAACTTTATAATTTTTTGGTGTATCAAAATAAAGTGTTATTGCATTTTAAGATTTAAGACATGTATTCATTTTCATAGTTTATCTAAATGACTGAAACATCAATCATATTTTCTATATACAATCTTAGTCAATGTGACAAATTCTAATGTAAAAAATGTCTCTGGGTTTAATCAGAAAATGGTTACATCAAAGTAGAATATTGAAAAGATTTCAAAGAGAAAAGTTCAAGATTTTTAATGCCAAGGAGTTCAGCTGTAACTGCAGACAAGTTTATATGAATATTATTAAAATTTATAATCTAATCTAAAACCTGTTATGTCATATGAGATGTCTGCAGCTGTAGAGACCAAAATAGCAAATGAGCTGCAAGCAAAATAACCTTATTGCAACTTTTATTTAACACTATTTAAAACTTTAATTAGGATTATAAAAACAAGTATATATTTCTTTGTAAATTGCTCTGTTGAAAAATGTTTGGCAATTTTGAATTATCCAGTTTTATTTCAGGATTGCATTTGGGTTCAAGTTGTTCCTTATCAGTTTTAATTAGGAAAAAGATTTTGTAAAATGCAGAATAGTTTATTCTGCCAGTAATTATAGAGCTTTTCAATATTATTTGCATATGCTTGGTTAGTTAATTTATGTAGTCATTCAATGTAATTAATATTTAAAAAAAAAAGAAATAATTAAAATGCATTATCTAATGATGAGGAAAAAAAACAAGTGAAAAATATTAATATATTAAAAACGAAAACCAAAAAATGTTAGTCTTCAGTTGAAATTTCAAATTCTATTTTAGTTTGCGTTTTTGCCCACTCTAACAGGTTGGCACTGAAAGCCAATGAAAAAGCCAATGATTGATTAATCTGATCAAATAAGGACTGAGTATATAAACACTTATACAATGAAAAATATTGATGGGGAAAACAAAATTAACCACAGGCAGGAAGCGTTAATAATATTAAAGTTGAAGAGGCATAAAAACAATTTTGAAGAGGGTAACAAAACTGGCAAAGATACGAAGGCATTTAAATATAAAACAAGACATGCAGCAAATTTTCAGGTGACTGTTAGACACTTGCAATGACAGTCATTAAAATGTGTTTCTAGGGAGCACATGTTACATCACACTGGCCACCTACTCTTGGATATGTTAGTCTTAGAACAAAGTTTTAGAATCTTGTAACATTGAACCAAAAGGTCATTTGCCTCACTTTTGTTTCTTTTGCTTTCCCTTTTAAGAAAGAAATATAAATTGAATGTGATTAAAACTCAAAGAAAACAAAAATATATAAACAAAAATAAAAAAGCAGAAGCAATGTGAGAGCCACTAAAAAAAAAAAAAAGAAAGAAAAAAAGCAATTAAAAGAACAAAGAAATCATGCAATAATTTTATATTTAGATCAACAATTTACCAAGTGATGTCCTAACATTCCCTAATGTAAAAAGGGATAAAAATGAATAATATAATCAATACAACAAGATCTTCTGATGTAGCTTCTTTTTTTTTTTTTTTGCAGCCTACTTTTTATGATCCAAGTTTAATGCTGTCATAAAAGTATATTATCAAAAACCACCAAGACAGAAACTGTAATGAAAGTATTTTAAAGAAAAAAACTTCAAAGAAAAAAGAACCTTAAACTAAATACACAAACAAAAGAATGAGAAAAAAATAAAAGACAAGAGACAAAATAAAAGGAGAATATTTACAAGACAATAGATTTATTCCCAGTGCTGTCTTTATACAGATGACTCCAAATTGTCACATTATCATATTTTTATTTTATTTTTTTTTTTAAACTTTTGGAGTATTGAGATTATACAATCAGCCAGCATGCATACACAATGAAAGTAACACACACATTTGAAAGATCATGCAGACACTAGTCTGTAGAAGAATATCATATGAAACACAGCTAATAAGAATTTATAACTGTCGGCAGGTTTTGCCTCTTTTTTTCCCCCATTTTATTGACATTTCATTACATAACACCATGCATGCAATTTTATCTTTCATACTGTTTACTCATGGTTTTTGTTGATGCATATCAAGATTTTTGGCAAAATGAAAAATGTTTTTTTTTCTTTCCCAATATATATTTTTTTTAAATTGCTTGGCCGATAATTGCTGCCCATACTTTTTCTCTCTCGTAATCCAATTCAAAATTTAAGAATCTTAATTTTTTTTTTAGAGATAATTTTCAAATAATTTTAGTAAAATATTTTTTCTTCCACTTTTTTTCCTGCAAAAATAAACATTTTGACGCGTATTTAGTAATATTGATATCTTTTTAAATAATCTAAATTTTGAGCACCATTGTTTTAACAGAAAAGGCAAATGTAAAACCATTTGTTTTCATTTTCTTTTTAATAAATAAATAAAAAGAAAAATGGAAGAAAAAGAATGAAATAATTAAATGATCACAAAGATGATATTTAGCCAATTTGCACATTGGGTTTAAATCTTGACTTTTTTTCTCTTTTCAAAGGGATAGCAGCAGCAGCAGCCTGGTTTTCAACACCATTTTGGTACGTTTTCTGCTTTGTCAGGCAATATTTTTCATTTTCTCTTCGTACAGAAGAAGCAATAGAAGCTCACCGGTTTTCTTCTTTTTCTCACTTTTCTTTTCATTTTTTTGTTTCGATTTTTTTTTTCTTTTTCTTTTTTTTTTAACCGTGTGGTTGTCAGTGGCTTAGGATTAAACCACAGATTCGATGTTCTGTACATGCTACAGTTGTCTGTCTTCAAATGTCGGATGGATGGTACATTTTGATCATTTCTCAAACATTCAAACATTCTTAAAATTTGGACTAGATTAAAATGTTCGATTGTCCAAACATCAGAATTTAGAAAATACAGGGCCATTTTATCTTCTCACAGATCTTTTTATCCCATTCTTTCAATTGGAGGGGAAACAAAAAGTATGAGGGGAAATATTTAAACTCCATTTTTTCTTTTTCACTGCATATATCTGCCATGTCTCTGATGTTAGACCCCACTCTAGAAGAGATGAATCTTCATATCCAAATGCTGTCATGTCAGAAAAATTGACACCTCTTTGTAATTGAGGTGCTCATCATTTGGTATGCTTTCTGCCATTGTCTTATCTCTTTTTTCAATTCTCTGCAAATAAATGCATATTCCTTGTTACTGAACTTAAGTAGAAACTGAAATCAATAATACTTTAATTTCTTAAGTTTACCTGCACTTAAAAATACTCAAGTATTATGAGGAAAAGTTTTTAAAATGCCCCAATCAAGGCTTAGCGGAAAACGTTTATTGTAAGAAATTGGACATTTTTTCCTAATATATGAATGTTAATTTTGAAATGAACTGAGTAAGAAAATTTTAAAAAGTTCTGGATTTAAATATGTTAATAGTGAAGAGGGTGGCTAGAGTATCTTAAATGTAAGGTCTCCCCACACCTCTCTCTCTTTCTCTCTTTTTGATTTCTGACAAAGGATCAGCTAATTACCCTGGTTGTAAACAGGGTGTGTCTACTTTTATCTCACCTGAATCCAAGGATGAGCCAAACAATCAGCAACATTTGCACGTTTTCTACAAAAGAATAAAAGGCCAAACTGAAGATAATATTCAAAACAGATCAATAATAATTCTTTAAATATGGATTCCTAATTTAAATATGGATTCCTAATTTAAAATCAAGTGATATAGCTTGGTTAATAATTTCATTAACTGAATTAATAATCATACATAAGGACAAATCAGTTTCTAAAGATTCTAATGGATTTTTTATTTATTAATCTGACAGATTTTATCACTTTAAACATTTTTTAGTAGATATTCATATTTGACTAGATTTATTCGAGAAATCTTATTAAAGAAAAACATGCGCTCTCCAGCAGGACTTGAACTGGTAAATGAAAATAAATAAATAAATATAATATTTAATAAATAGACAGAGCTTCTACTCAAATATGGGCACCCATGAAAAATAATGTTTAAAGTGATAAAATAAACACAAATGCAAAACAAAAATGTCTGGTCAAGAAAACATTGTAGATTTAATAGTACTAACACAATCAACTGTTTACCAAATATTTAGAAATAATCTGTAAGGAGTTGACCTAAGCCCTTCAAGAATTTAAAAGGGATTATCAACTTTATTATCACAATGTTTGAGTCAATAATGGAAGAAATAGAGATACCATCTTCCAAAAATGTCTAAACATAATTCAAATCATTATTGTTAAAACTATATATATAAAGAAATATTATTTAAACTTGTATAATTCTAATAAAGTACGATCATATGCTCTTCCCATATCCAAGGTCACCAAATTATGTTAGCCAAATTCATGTGAAGACAAAGTTCAGGTTCAAAACAAGAAATAAGTTTGGTTTGAAAAGCTATTTTCACTGGTACAATAATTATAAAATGTATCTTGATGAATTTGTTTGGAAACCAAAATCTCCATTTCATGTACACAAGGAATGGCTGAACAAAGCCTGTTTGAAGAAACTAGGAACATGAATTCTATAAATAAGGGTTGCCAGAAAGTAATGAAATAACATAAAACATTGCATCACGGATTCCCTATTGAGAACATAAAAACTAACATGTCCATTCCTTCAGTCTCAAAATCTATTGTTTTTTTGTTATTCATTACATATACAAATTTTTTTTTGTTTTAGCTTTCACAGTTAAATTTCTATTTCTGACACAAACTCAGTCCAAACCGGGGGTTGATAAGACAGACGACTGATATCTTCATCTGCCAAAATAGGCTATTCTCCATATGGGGCGATTTTGGATTTTATTGTTTATCGATTATTTGCTCTGAAATAATGAATACATTGAGCTCTTTTTGTGGATCAGTTTTAATATTTTATATTAATAGGATCCACTTGGATTATATACCAATGTTATTTTTTATATATATATATATATATATATATATATATATATATAATGTTTTAAGGTATGCCATATCTAGGAGTTAAAGTGCTCAATATCAGAGAGAGAGAGAGAGAGAGAGGAGTATGTAAATATAAAAGAAGACATTGAAGTCAACACTCACAGATGACAGTGTTTTATGTTAAATGCAATCATCAAGCCATGATAGTTGCATCTAGCATGGAACAAACTGCCTCCTCTGAGTGTTGACTTCAATGTACACTTTATATATATCTTAGGTGAAACCTTGGTAGGTTTGTCTGGCTCTCTAAGTTTAACTAGGTCTGCTCTACTCACTGTATTGAGCAATTTATTTAGTGGTTTTGCGTACTTGTATCAGGGTTTTATTCTTTGGGCTTTAGACTTGCATGCTAGACAATTATTTTTGGCTAGCATACATGTTCTTGGTTCTTTTTTTTTTTATACTTTTTTTTCCCTTTGGTATTGGTTTGATTACTTGCAAATCAAGACACCGAAGGTTTTCCGAACGAGTATAGTTTCTTATATTTATAAGATTTCTATTAATTTTTGTATATATATATATATATATATATATATATATTTTAGTCCCTTAAAAGGTGCCCATAAGATGGAACTCAATACTGAAGTGATCATCCTTTTGTCTTAGACACACAAAAAAGAGATTAAAACTCCAGATTTGATTAATGTCTTAGTAAATCAGAGAAACCTTTTTAAATGGTAAACTCGGTTCTACACACACACACAAAAAATAAAAACAAGTTAATATACCTATTAATTCTAGATGACAAATGTATATTCTTATTGAGATAGAAATTAGAATATTGCATCATTATCAATGCATTTAAATCTTGTCCATTAATTCTAAAGATTTTACATTGTGAGAAGCACATCTGTTGAATGTCTATTATAAGCATTAATAAATCTTATCTTTTGTAAATCATTTACAGTTATGTTTTATGATGATAACACTTGACAATTGTTATCATCATAAAACAGTCCAGGAGCCTAAATTAATTTGTTATTCATCATGACTTTTTAGGTAACTTGGATTTTTCCAAGTGTAAAAAAAACTTTAGTTTTATTCTTTATAATAGAACAGAAATTATCCCTTGATTAAAGAAAACTAAAAGAATTTCATTTTCCATGTAATAATGAAGCAGCATAATTTAAACTTGACATATTTAAAATATATGAAACAGAAAATGAAGTCATAAAAAAGCTAAAACAATAGCTTCCTGCCATATACTCATTTAAAATAAAGAAAATAAAAATTACCTGGGATTTTTGACAAGCAGTTTGTCTATGAAGTCTTTTGCTAGTTTACTTGTTGTCTCAAAATAATCATCTTCAAAATCATAATCAACAGATGTGATGTTTTGGTAGGTTTCCTGCTGGTTATCACCAAGAAACGGAGATGTTCCACTGAGTCTGGAAGGAAAAAAAAAAAAAAAAAAAAAAATGAAAGCAAAACACTATGAATATTCAAAACCTTTATGAATTCTGCCAATAAAATTATATATAATAATAACAATAATATTTGTGGGGTGTTCTCTTGGGTCTTCTTCGAGAGTCGCCCTAAAGCTGGTAACTTGAACATAATTACCCCTTGGCAGTCAAGGTTAAAACACAAATCTCTACCAACTTCAATGAATATGAATAAAATTTCATACCGGATCAGTTGTCACCTAGGTCAACAAGGGCCATGTCCCTCAGAGACAAACCAGTCTGAGGACGAAAAATCTGTCACTGGAACAAACTCTTCCACAAATGAAGAGACACTAGGTCACCAAAACCGGATTATTGCCAATCTTGGACCAAGTGACTCAATACCAAATCAACTAATAAAAAGAAAACGAACAAAATGGACCCGTGAAGAGTATCGACATGTCATGACATCATTCTTCACTGCACTTGAAAACCCAGCACAGAACACCACCAATCAAACATGTTCTCACAAGTACAGCCCACACTTTACGAAGGGCTTTATGTAAATTTTTTTTTTTTCTGCAGTGGAAAGTGTCATAATACCATTTCTAACCTTAGGTCCCTGGGCAGGACCCGGAAAGAAATGTGTAAATGCCAGAAATCAAAAGAAATAAAAATAATAATAATAATAATAATGGTTCTATAGAATAATAAATAGAGAATATATTGACTCTAAGATGACTACTGGTTTCCAATGCCTGTCTACAGTAGTAGAGCTAATATCAATAATCTTAATTCAGTAAAAAACAAATAATTCTATTCTCATCTACCAAATTAAGAATAATGAAACAAACACAAGTATATACATAAAACCAAATAAAAACCAAATAGCACAAACAATAAAAATTCTTCATTTACAAAATTTTTCAACATCAAGGAAAGAAATATTTATATGAACTTGTCAAACAATCATAAGAAATTTGACAATTTTTTGGTTGAAACAAAAATCTGGAAGTTATCTCAAACTCCACAAAGATTGACAAGCAGGCAAAATGGTTGTGGATTGAACGGGTGGAAAGACAGTCTGTAAGAAAGAAACATTTGTACAATGAGCATGTCTGTTTGGATGCAAAACAGATGTAGCATTATTACAATGAAGCTCCTTGAAGATGAAGAGATTTAAACATGTCTTCAGAACATTTCATGGTTAACAAAGCTAAATGAATGGTGTGAGCAAAAAGCAACAATTCCTGCCGTTTTATCTGGCACCAATTCAAAACCAAACATGATGAATGAGAAGCTGATAAGAGCTGTGGGGATTCCTGGATGAATACGCTGCGCAAACACAGCAACTGCTTGCCAAGCTTCTATTTGTCCCTCCCCTTGTTTAGAGATTACATTTGTATATCAGATGCTCCAAGTTTCACATTTCAATGTGGTCAGGTGATAAAAACTGTGACCAATCAGGTAGTATAAAGGAAACAAAAAAAACAAAAACACTGACAGTACTTTAGGTAGGGGTAAAAAGCATGTATGATTAAATGTTAAAAATACCAATTCCAGGTGTTGAAAAGATTTCAAATGAATAGAAGTGGAAAGTAGTTTCAATAGTTCCAGGAGGAAAAGAAAAAGCTTTACAAGAGGACATATATACATCAGTACCAAGATATATATATATATATATATATATATATATATATATATATATATAATACAAATAGCCAGTTTTCTTCTTTATGATTAATGTTTGTTTATTATTTGGTTCCTGAAGGGCAAAGCATAACAAGACTGAGTTGATCTTTGATAAATATGTGTGTATGTGTGTACGAGAGAGTATGCCTGCATGCACAATTTTTCACACATTATATTCACTGTCATGGTAAAAGCAAAACATCTACACAACTTCTAGAGAAACAAATGGAACAGGTACTTTTTCAAGAGAAAAAAAAAGGAAAAAAGAATTATAATAAAAAAATTAATTTCTTGCTCTTTCAGAAGTCAAAGCCAATCAATACTACACCTTAACCAAAATGAATATCTAAAATATTTCTTGATGAAAAGAGTTCAAAATCAGTTACACAAACTTGTGTGGGGGGATGATTTATTTTCCACTATATAACATCTTTCCCACAAGCACAATGTTGCAAGCCTGTTGCTACTATTGCTATTTGTACGGTAAATGCCAAGAGCAGCTCCATTCTTTAGTTCTCCTAGTTCAGACCTTTACAGCTAGGAGTCGCTATGCTACATCCACACTGTTGAATCCCCTCATATTTCTGTTGTATTTCATTTGTAAGAAGAATGTTCTCCTCAAACAGCATCCCCACCTCCAAGAACTGCTACTTTGTAGAACAGACTCCCACGTGGGTGCTTTTGTGAATATTTTAATCTTGACCTCTTCAAGTAAGGGTCAATCATTATCTCATTCAATCTTCATTTCCTCCCCATTTCTTTTCCATCCTTTTCATATACCTCACCTATTATTACCATTTCAAATATAACCTTGAATATAATCATTTCACCCCAAGCTAAGCAAAAAAGCCACTAAGGCACAAAGAGTTACTGAGTGTGAGAGAATATGAGAAAAAAAAAAACACTATTAAGAAAGAGAGATCAATAAAAGAGCAAGAATTCATATAGAAAATAATGATTAACATTGCACTGATTAACTTTTTGAACATCAAAATTGACTGGGAAGCAAGAAGCTGGAAGAGAGTTCCACAAATGAGAAATGCAAGAGAAGAAACTGTTAGTATAGAACTTACAGTTACAACTAGCCATTTCAATTGCAAAAATGATGAGACCTTGCCACCAATATAGTACTGTGTTTAAATTTGTAAAGTCTAAGTACAATAGAGGAAAGTATTTATAGAAAAGGCACAGGGAAGCTAGATTGCAGCAGTGGGAAAGTGACTGAAGCTGAGATACCAGGTCAAAACAAATCATTGCAAATTTTTTGGATTTTATCAAGAATCTCTAAATATATAGCAGGAGCACCTGATTAAATATGGTAGACTTAAGATAGAGCTCAAGGGAATACCTGCATTAATGGAAAAAGATCTAGAAGAGTGGCCATTCAAGATATCTTGCATCTTGCAATTTGATAAAAAAGCTTGAATTAATTCAAAAATTTGTCTAGAAGTATGCCAAACCCTGTCAAATGGCTTCAAGATACCAAAGCAATACCCCGAGCTTCACCGGAGACACTTTCAGCAATAATTGTTAACACATTAACAGTTGATCTAAAGAAGAGAAAGCCATATTGCTTATCTGAAAGAAAACTCTGCAAGGTGAGATGCTTAACCAATTCAGAGTTAATTAAAGCCTCTAGCACTTTGCCAAAAAGAGGTAGAAGGCTAACAGACAAATAGAAGGATAAGATGACTCACCCAAGTTCTTAAAGACTGGAACTGCAGAAAAGGATTTCTAAACAAGCAGAATAACAAGAAACAGCAAGGTATTTATTGTAGAGTTTAGAGAGAACAGGAGCCAGTTCAGGAGCACATTTGTTAAGGACAGATATACCATCAATTCCACATGCTTTGTGAGGATCCAGTTTAGAGATGATGATAGAAACTATAGGAGGAGTTATAAGCATATCACTCAATAGATTAGAATGGTTACTTATTTATCTTCCAAGACATATTCTGTTTGGAGAATTAGTCTCTGGTTGAAGAACTGGGACCCAACTGAAGAGATACAAGAGATCCTTGAAACTAAATAGAAAAAAAAAAGAAATAGAAGCAGACAAGAGAGGAATATTGGATGCAAAATCTATCAGATGTTCTTCTTCATCAAATAAAGACACAAAAAACCAGAGGACACGAATAAAGAAGCAACTTTGCAAGATTGGAATCTTTGGTGGCCATCAGATTCTCTTCTGCAATTTTTGTAGAAAGGTATGTCTCTTGCAATCATTTGTGTATGTGCGTGTGTATCTCCACATACAAGCCTGTTTCGCGGTATCACAGCTCATCTGTGTGGCTAGACATCCGTTTGCTTCAAGCCAGGATCGAAACTTAACTGATTTGGCATCAATCAGAGACTCTACCTTTAAGGTATTAGTGCATGGCAAAAAAAAAGGGAATCTTTTAACGCATTATATACATGATGTATATAAACACCAAATCAGCATCCAGAGTGCTCAATAACCTCAGTGATGCATTATAAACAGGAGCAGACATTGTTTTTCAAAAAATTCCCTTTCTCCATAGCACTCAATTGACAAACAAGAGCCAGTCACATTCATATATCTCAAGATCTGTCCAGAAAGTATTTAGCTAGTGAAAGAAAAATTAATTGCATGACCTTGATGTAACTTAGCAACCAATCAGAAGGGACCTTATTGTGAATGTATGAATGAACGCCTCATAGCTGTGGTTGGTCTGTTCAACTGGCAATAAGATGCCATTGAGCAAGGCTTGTGGACTGGGAGACAGTTATATTCATCATGGCAATGCACTTGTCCATTCTTAATGCTTTGTGCATTTATTTTTTTTATTATTGGTATAATGTTACATCAGTCAGGCCTGTCAGATTTGGCTCCCTTAACTTATTGCTTTTTTCAAGGCTAAAACTCACCATTGAAAGAGAAATATCAGACTGTGGACAGCAGTAAGAACTTGATAAGGAATCTGATTGTAATACCAGAAGAGGAATTTGTGGAGAGTTTTGAAAAGATGAAAGAACATAGAGATAAGTAATACTGTAAAGGAAAACCTTTGAAGGGAGCTAAAGTGCAATTTCTCTTGTGAGGTTACTAATTTTGCTAATATTAAAATGGATGAATTCTTTCCAGAAAGGGCGTGTGTGTGTGTGTGTGTGTGTGTATATGTATATTTAAAACAAAGACAAATACACATATTTCTACTTTAAAACAAAAAGCCCCAACTTTGTAAAAATTAAGCAAATTTTCTTCCAAAGAAAATAAATCAAAAGCGAGAGAAATTTCATTTGACCAAGATTGATTTGTCTTTTAATTGTCTATCAACTTTTGCAGGTTA